ATCTAATTCTCTAGAAGGATTAATTAATCTATAATTATCTTTCATGAGCATGGTTATCATATAATTCAGATCCTTATGTTAACTTATCACGAGTGTGATCTCGAATTTAGTTATTAGTCTTATTCGATTATAATCATATAAGTTTTCTTTGATTTCCAAATGTCTTAGCTCTTAGAGTAAACCAACTACGTTCTATTGGTATATTCCTACTATGGCTAGATATTTCTTGAGTAGTCGATCATCAAAATGCAATGCGATAACTTTTTTAGCGTAAAAGGAATGACATGTCCTATATGAGTCATTCACTCGCCTACATTAAATTTTTAATGTACCAAATAAATCGCCTACGTGTAACCCTTTATCGGGTCCATCGAAAAAAGTGTCAAAGTACATAAATCCTTCAATGAGATAACCGTGAAGATTTCAAGTTTAAGGACTAATTGTATCTATCTCGTATGAGATTTTCATAGACTAAACCAAATATGTTCTCATGAAAAGTCAAGTCCAATGATATGTTCTCTAACATTAATCACCTACACGTTTGGTTTGACATCATCATGCCTATAGTTGTGAGATCTCCTATGACCTTTGAAAATTATAAGTTTTAAAAATAGATCAAAAAGTAGATAGATTTTAAATATATAAAAATTTAAGTAAAAAATAAAATTAAAATTTGAGCTAAATATATGGAAAATTAAAATAGCTCTATTGCTATCATATAGCATGAACATAGGACTCACAAGTCTATCCGTATATAGTCAATGTCCATTCTTGACCATGCTATGATTTGAGATATTTAATGATATCGCTTACGTTCATTAGTGTTTGTCTCATATCTTTCTATCAACCACCAATACAAATGCATATCGAAGGACTTCTATCTAATTTTACTCGAATAAATAAACATAAAATATAAGAATTAATAGAAGAACTTTTTTATTATTAATAAAATAAATGATGTAATAATACAATAACCGAAATCCATCCAAATAAGATTAGATCTTGGGTACCTACACTAATACATATGTAGTGAACATACATGTCGAGTTGCATTTAAGAATAAAAGGATTAAGTCGAGGGTTATTGCAAAGCACTTAATCAACAACTTTGGTTGTATTGCTTTGAAAATGGGTTAAAAAAAGTGAAAACACAAGCAAGAGAGAAATTGTGCTATAACATAAGTCCCGATCAACCTAGAAAAGCAAATGAAAGGATAGAAAGACATTTTTATGATGATAACAATGTTGAGTATGCAATGCTTGCAAGATTAATTAAAAGAGTTAAGGAGGAGTAAAAAAGAAATACCATTGAAAGCTAGTTTATCGGGCCTAATATTGAGGGTAATCCGAGTGTTCAAAGTCGTTTATATTTGTTTTAATGCACTAAAAAAAGGATTCAAGGTAGTATGCGGGCCTATTCTTGGAATGGATGGATGTTTTTTTAAAGGAAAGTATAAAGGTGAGATCTTAACAACTATGGAAAGAGATAAGAATAATATGATGCTTTCTTTAGCTTGGCTTGTTATTGATGGTGAAAATCAATACACTTAGAAATGATTTATTGAACACTTAATGAGATATCTTGATATAGAGTTTGGAAACGAAAGCAATTAGACACTCATGATTGACCAACAAAAGGTTAGATTTTGATATATTTTGAATAATATAATTATAAATTTTATTAAATTATATACTTAATTGTATATTTTCATTTATAGTTTGCGGTATGCAAATGACAAACACTAAATTAAACCTCGTAATGTGTTTTCTTGGTAGGGTCTTGAGAAGGCAATAAAGGAGTTAATGCCATTTGCTAAGCATAAAAATTGTGCAAGGCATATATTTACTAATTGGAGGAAGAAGCATAAGGGTAAGGAGATTCATAAAAAAATTTTAGGCATGTACGAGAGCTACAACTCAACCTCGATTTGAAGAAAGCATTTGAGAAGATAATAGGAAAAATAAAGGATGATATACTCAAAGTTGATATGACGAGCATGGTACAAAGCTTTTTCGATCCGACAATAAGTGTGATATTGTTAAAAATAACATGTATGAAGTATTTAATGGTAATTTGTGTCAAGTTAGATACAAATCAATCATTACAATATTAGAAAAAATTAAGGTGATTTTAATGATAAGAATGGTGGAAAGGAGGTAATTTGATCGGGTTAGGTTCAAGGAAGATTATGGATAAAAAATATGGCAAAAGTTTGAAGAGCGAAAAGAGTTGATTCATATAATCAAAATAATATGAAATGGTGATGACGAGTTATGAAGTAAATTAGTTTAGGGATAGATATCTTATTGATGGCATGATAAGAATGGTGATGGTAATGATAAGAATAGTGGAAAGGAGGTAATTTGATCAGAGTTAGGTTCAAGGAAGATTATGGATAAAAAATATGGCAAAAGTTTGAAGAACGAAAAGAGTTGATGCATACAATCAAAATAATATGGAATGGTGATGACGGTTATGAAGTAAATTAGTTTAGGGATAGATATCTTATTGGTGTCTCATAAAAAGTGTAATTGTAGGTCTGTGGAATATTAGTGGAATTCCTTGTGTCTATGCAATATTGTTACTCTTTTTTTATATATAATTTTTTGTAAATTTAAATGTATTAAACATTATGTTGAATAACTTCAATTTGATTATTTTCTTTTGTATTACGGGATGGGCTAACAAGTGCTTCAACTTCGCTTCCCTAACTAAAATAGTAGTAAAAAATATCCTAACTGATCAAGTGATAGTGCAAGAGGGTATTGCAACATAGGAATCAAGGACAAAAGCTACTTTTTAGAACTTGGAAATAAAGAACTTCCTAGATACACATGTGGCTTATATGTGAATCCCGATATAAGATTTTCAATTTGAAATATAAGTTAAATACATATTTAGCTCTGTCATTATTTTGTGATTTCTTTATGTATGATTTACATTATTGTTTGTTTGGTTATAAAAATTTTTTTGTTGTTTTTTGCTATCTTTATATCCCGACATCTTGTATTTCACAAGTTATAAATCTAGGCACTCATCCAAATAAAGAAAAAAATGAACGAGGAGCTTAAACTAAGAAGAATGAGTAGAAAGCCAAGCAATCCGTTTGTCAAAATGAAAGGAAGACCAAGGAAGAATCAAAACTAAATACATGTTGTTTGAGGAAAAAAATGAAAATTACTTATGTATTTAGAATAGTTAATGATATGTAATGGATCCATTTTTTGATTTTATTAATGACAATTATGTGTAGTGGACGATGTTTGACTAATTTTATTGTTAATTGACCAAAATTTAGTTAATTATTGTCTTGTTCTATTTTGAAGAATTGTTCATGTTTATAGAGTCTTTAATAGTTGAATAATAGTTCTTCAATTCTAGTTTGTCATGTATTTTTGTTTTTAAATTCTAGATAATTAAGCTAATCTCTATAATTGAAGAATTGTTCATATTCAAAATTTAATGAGATTTCAATGATTGTTCTTCAATTCGGTAAATTTGAGACGATGTTTGAAAAATTGTTTGTCTTGTATATTTATTTTTTAATTCTAAAAAAATTGAAGTCATCTCTAAAATTAAAGATGAATTCATTCAATTCTTCAATTCTGGAGAATTGTTCAACAAATTTAGAGAATGAAATCAAAATTCTACGGAATTGAAAAACAATAATTCGTAAAATTGAAGTTCAATTCGGAGAATTGAAGATGAATACATTCAAATTTGAAGAATTAATGAACAATAATTTTGTAGTTATAAAATTAAAGAATAATTCTTGAGAATTGAAGATGAACACATTCAAATATGAAGAATTAAAGCAAACTTCTATAGAATTGATAAACAACAATTCTGCAGATTTGAAGTTGTTCTTCAATTACGGAGGATTGTTCTTCAATTCTCCAAAATCGAAGAACATTCCTCTAGAATTGAAGATGAATACATTCAAATTTGATGGATTGAAGCAAACTTCTGCAGAATTAATGAACAACAATTCTACAGAATTGAAGATGAATGCATTCAGATTTGGAGAATTGAAGAAAACTTTTACGAAATTGATGAACAACAATTCTAAAGATTTGAAGTTGTTTTTCAATTCTCTAAAATTAACAATTCTCAGAATTGAAGATGAATACATTTAAATCTATAGAATTGAAGTAAACTTCTACAAATTTGACTTTTGTAGAATTGATTGTTCATCAATTAAGTAGATTTGTTCTTTAATTATCCGAATTGAAGATGAATTCATTCAATTTGAGAGAATTTTTTAAAATTCTCTAGAGTTGAAGAACATTCTACGGAATTGAAAAATAAATTTAAATTTATAGAATCGTTCATCATCAATTTTGGAGAATTGTTCTTCAAAAAAGTAAGCTTAAAGATAACCTTTTTTTCCTTATTTTGATAAGCTAAGAAGAAAAAAACATAAAACCTAACGACCAATGGAATATTTTCATTAACATTATATCAAAATTTACACCAACTTCAACACAACATTAAACTTAAACCCTACAAATTTAACATCAACATTTCATAATTCTTACATCCAAAATCTACACTAAGCACATATGTTGTTGGCTACCGCAAATTATCCGAACACATTTAACAAGCCTTACAAATTTAACAAAACCAACATTAACCTATTCTCGATAACATCTTCTTTAACCAACAACAACCATACTAACATAGCAATAATTAAAACCGGACAACGAACACAATTGTTACATCTAAAATGATTCTTTTCTTTATCTTCATTACCATTTTCAATCTTCTCTTTGTCATCATTACCACTTGTCAATCTTCTTTCTTAGCCTAATTTTCTCTAAATAAATGCTCATTCTCGGCAGCTAGCCTCTTTTTAGTATACTTTAAAACATTAATTATATTTCTTACTCTTACTCTCACCATTGGATCTTAAAATTGAAAGTAATTGCATTTTTTACTGTCATCTTTTACATTGAATTTGGGACATATAAAGAATCTCATTCCCGGATTATTATCACTCCATGAAGTCCATCGAGGAGCTGGGAGTTCACCATTACGATATCTTGTGGGACAATCCTCCAAATAATCATACTAGGGGTTTTGGAATGAATAGTGAAGATATGTCTTCCACATTACATGTTTTTGATGATTTTGAAGAAGAAGAAGAAGAATGGGAAGCCATGAAATGTCATGATGACGAGACCAAATTTGAGGAAGATATCAAAAAATTGAAAATGCTCTAATTCTACCCCTAATTCAATCGGATATAAAAAAAAACACATAAACCTTAAAATTATCCCTTTCGATTGCACACGGCTTCCTCTCTCATGTTTGGTTGTACAATGGAGGTAACTTTCTCTCTCGTGCGCTCTCTATCGTTTTCAATTGCAAAAGTCTCTGTTCCTCTCTCTCCCAGAACATTGCAAACTTCCTCTCTCCCTCTTCCTCTCTCTCCCCGACCGTTGCAAATAAAGGTTAGATTAGGGATATAAGGCTAGCAACGAGTCGTCCGCCTTATATCCATAACCTAACAAATTAGTTTTTAGTTTAACGCTAAAAAAAAAAATTAATGGCAATAGTGATGCAAATGCATTGACCAGTTATATTTAACACCAATTGAGAAAATTAAATCAATATTACCCAATCTTTAATATTTTGGGGTCAAAATTATGCAATTTGATATAATGAATCCAAAATTGTCAAATTACAATAAATTAGGGGTAAAAATTGCCATTAAACCAACAAATATGTCAAGCACATTCATAAGACACGGCTAAAAAAGGAAAAGACAAAAAAGACATTAGAGCGATAACACATATATAATCAATCTGTTGTTCGGAGAGACTAATGCTATAAGTATATACTACGCCCTTAGTAAAAGTCATTAATGCCTTTAAAGGAACACTTAAGGTAAATTTAGGGAACAAATAATATAGAATTAAGTACGTAATAAAGTAAGAATAGAATAGTGTATATATATATATATATATATATATATATATATATATATATATATATATATATATATATATATATAGAGAGAGAGAGAGAGAGAGAGAGAGAGAGAGAGAGAGAGAGAGAGAGAGTAATACTGACTTGATTTTTGACAAACTTAATTGAAAATTTATTTTGATTTTGATTTAGTCTTGTATTATTTTTTTTGTCCACACTACACTATGAGTTGGATAAAATATATAAAATCATTTAGAAAAATTATTTCAATTTGATAGTCTCGTTTTATGGTGTAAATCTATAAAAATATATAAAATCAAAGGTGAAAAGAATTATTTTTAACTATTTTTAATCAAAAATTTTGTATTTAACTATTTTTAATTTGTGTTTTTCATAATTTTTCCTTTCCAAAAAGAATTTATCCTTGTTAATCCATGGATTATTAACTAAAAAGAAAATTAAAAAAAAATTAAAATTTTTATAGTATTTCATAAGATTGTGTTGAAAAACATAAATAACAATTATTAAAAGCTTACATAGAATTGAACAAATAATTTTTTTTGATTTAATGTTGATGAGAATATCGATTTTTGAAAAAATATAAATTTAATTTTTATATATTTATTTAAAAAAGAATGAATAATATTAAAATAAAAAACTATATTAATTTGACTTTCAAATATTAATTAATTAACTTGATTTTTTTCTAAAAAAACAAAGAAAAAAATATTTGAAATACACTTTTCATCTAAAAATGCATCTTAGACAAATTATATATATTAATTATGCTACTATAATTTAAAATTTATCTAAATCTATTTTTCAGAAGAAAAAATAATCATGTTCTAAAAATTTATTCCAAAATCCATAAATATAGAAGAATAAATTATAATTATCAGTAAATATAATTTTAAATTAATTGGATGAGAATTTAAAAAATGATAAATTAAAATAGTAAATTTTAAAAAATAAAAATAATTAACAAAAAAATACTAAAACAAAACGGAACCAAATCACAATATAATCAAAGTTTGAAATTGAAAAAAAAAGAGAATTTAAAAAAAAATGACCAATTAATGTAGTAAATTTTAAATAACATAAAAAAATCAAGAAAAAAATATTTAAAAAATACTAGTAATCTAAAAATGTATTTTAGACAAATTATATATATTAATCATGCCACTATAATTTAAAAATTATCTAACTCTATTTTTTTTAAAAAAAATCATTTTTAAAAATTTATTTCAAAATCCATACATATAGAAAAATAAATCAAAACTCGTCAATAGATATAATTTTAAATTAATTAGATAAATTTTTTTAAAAAAATAATAAATTTAAGTAATAAATTTTAAATAATAAAAATAATTAATAAAAAACACTAAAACAAAATGAGACTAAATCACAATATAACCAAAGTTTGAAATTGAAAAAAAAAAGAAGAGAATTTAAAAAAAATGACAAATTAATGTAGTAAATTTTAAATAATAAAAATAATTAATAAAAAACACTAAAACAAAATGAGATCAAATCACAATATAATTAAAGTTTGAAATTGAAAAAGAAAGAAAATTTTTAGAAAATGACAAATTAAAGTAGTAAATTTTAAATAATAAAAATAATTAACAAAAAATACTAAAACAAAATAGTGTCAAATCACAATACAATTAAAGTTTGAAATTGAAAAAAAAAAGTATAGAAAAATTGAGAACCAAAGTGTTACAAAAATAATAATTTATGAGTATGTGAACAGTGATTTATGAATGAATAATAAAATTATGTTTTACTGATAATTTACAGGAATTCAAAGGGTTAAGATAAAGTGAAAATTATACACAGTGAGCATATAAACCTAGCAAGAAAGGAAACCAGTCGATATCTCACTTCTCACTTTTAACACTTATAATGGTGACCAAAAGATATGTTATATACTGCTAATTTAAAATATTAACACCAATCCTAGTTAATATATAAGTAAAATATGAGAATCTTTTTGTTTAAAATACAAAATCATTAGCATCCGACGGTTCAAGTCCAAAGATCTTTACTAAATTAGTTTAAATATAGAGTCGAATAATGCTTTTGATTTCCAACCAAATAGACCAAAGATCACAATTTATATATATATATATATATATATATATATATATATATATATATGTATTGAGATCTTGCTTTTTCTTTTAACCAACAGCCTATTTAATCCATTTTGAAAATTGTAGTGGGTAGAAACATTCCAACCTTACATCATGTAGAAGCAAGGGATACAATCACAGAATTATTAAAGATAGGACAATTCGATGGTTGGTAATGGTGAATATTACCTAATGTTGCCCTTTGCTAGCCTGGAAGCAAGGGAACAATAGTATAAGAGATACATTCAGAATTAAGTATTAGATATGGCATTTTTTCGGCGCAGAAGATCTGGGGGAAATGGATTTTATATTTTATGTTAAAGTTTTCTGCTGTTTGAAATTTGAATTATGCTTTGCTTCTATAGGAACTTGGTGTTTTTCCCTTTGATAGAGCAATGCGTGTGAACGAGTCTAACAGTTATACCTGCAAAGAAAAGAGAAGAAAAGAAAAAGGAAAGATATTTGAATTCCAATCAAATCTACTTGCATCCGAAAGCAAATCATTTCTGTTGTTAGAAAAGACTTGTGTCAAAGAAACCAATAACAACGTAACCGGGAAAAAAAAAAAAAAAAAGAGTCCATGTCCTTAACGCTTAACAAAAATGATTATTTGACTACAACCTGCTGCTTTCTGGCATCAAAAACTCATTTCATCTGCTAGCTACCACGAATGCCAAGCCATATTAGTCTGTCTTCGCACAGAAACAATATGATCATATGACTCGAATTTCTGTCATACTCTCTTGCTTCTTTTTTTTTCCCCATCAATAGGCCTAGATTGTCCAAAATATTTTTGAAATTCTGTGATTTTTTGTTCTGTAATTTTCCAACTTAGACACCAAATTTTAAGCTCCAAGCAACTTAACTGAAGGAGACAACCTGTTACCACAAAAATAAGCAACACTCTTTAAAAAAGTTATACAGATAAAAATCTTAGAATCAAAAGAGCTAGTAAGTTGCCCCTAAGAGCACTAAATTAAAATTGTGGAAAGTTAAATAATTTGAAGGCAAAACGGTACTGATCTTCGAATCTGGATGTGATCATGAACAAATCCAGACTTATTAAAGTTCTGATTTGGGGGCTCTTCGTAGAAGTATCTTAAGAAATTGTATAAGTTCATGGGTCATCTTGGAAACTTTTAAAACTTGGGGGCACCCCTTCCTGGCCATCCCTTAAATTCGTCGCCCAGGACGTCACAAGCCTTCCGTAAATTTATGTCGTGACGTCATTATTTTTCCTAATGTTCCAATATCGGGTTTCCAATGTCAATGAACCCAAGCAAGGCCTCCTATAAAACTGGGAATCTAGGATGTATTTCTAAGGGTGAAACAACATCACAAAAAATTAGTGACGTCACTACTTGAGTTGTTGAGTAGCTGATTTCTTGATGATTTGATGACACCAATGGTTTGTAATACCATGAAAATTTCTAGAGTCACAAGATTTTTTTATCCATTTTTAACATCAAAGCTATGTTAGAATTGTTGAAGCAAATAAATTATTTCGCTACCTTTTTCTATCAAATTAACTCTTTTATTAACATGAATATCATTGACTAGTGCAGGAACAGGGGACTGTATTTAACCCCTATGTTTTTGTCAAGATGGATGCCACTTACAAAAGAACTGGAACCCAGTCAACCCACCTACCTTCCTCTTCCGAACCCTGACAAACGCACTCTAAGGGGACCTCATGTCGAAAGGTGTGGTTTTTGGTGTAAATGACACGACAATCCGATAAAAACAAAGACGGATTTTGTCTTGGCTGACGTTTAACCGACATTCTCATGTTATAACCATCATTTTCATATTTCAGTTGATATTGAGAACACCATAGAGGGCAGCCTCGATGCTCATGCCAGCCCTGACCCAATCCCTAGTCAAATCATCAACCAGGAAAAATCCGCCCAAGCATGGAATCTCCTGGAAGATTCGAATTCAAGCTCAAAACCCACTAAATTCTCCACCTAGCAGATTCAGAAATACGAAAGAGTCGTCCATGAAGTTCACTCATAAAGTACCAGCCTAAATATTCCACAAAATCCATATAGCCATCCATATCCAAGCAAGTTATTTCTTGACAATTGCTAAACGCACATGATCATTAGAATAAACTACATGAAAATGAAGAAACGTATTGAAGGAAAAAAATTCTGCATCTCAAAATTTTCCTCAGCCAAGTACCAAAATGCTAACCAATAAGAGTTATATCTTGGAAGCAAATATTTGAAAATCGATTCAAGGGCTATTCCTAACCTAAAATGAGGAGAACCGCACAAAATAATACTTTGACAAAAATATTGTTCTATACGAGCTTCTCATTTTAGATTACAACCTAAATACTCCCAGCATAACCAGAGTATCAAAGTACAACCGTCAAAGTTGCCTTTTAGAACGAGGCAGGACTGCAAGAAGAATCTTCTTTCTTGGCCCCTGCATTTTGGACAAAGTTAAAAAGAAACCAGCATTAATGTTAATGATCATCGGCATGCAAATTTAAGAACAATAGTCTATTGGCATCCCACAGAGAAGTGCCACCACAACTTTTGTTTCAATAAGCAAGAAGAATGCATTGTGTACATCAGACATTTTCCAAAACAAACGGAATAACGATCATTCATTTTGTGGAACACAACTTAGTACTTCAAGGTGCCATGAATCAGCAAACCTCATTTAGCCCAGTATTTTCCATTTTTTTTTAACATAGATATCATTCACTTTAGTCCTCCAATATTTATTCAGAAGAAAAACCCACCAAGCCCTCTCCCATTAATAAATTTTGAAGTGCAAAAGCGTATCTCACAACAGAGGCAGTCTCTACATCTCTGAATGACTTAACATGAGAAACTTATATTAAATTGACAACCATCATTAGTAATGATGATGATGATTATGTCCCCAGTGTATAATGACTGCTAGGATACCATAAAAAGGTTTCTTTTCTTTTCTTTTTCTTTTTTACAAGGGAGAGGTTCGAACTTGAGACCATTTGAGTGAAGGGAAACATAGATACCAGTTGAGTTTGTACAATAAAGCAATTCATTTCAAATAAATAGAAAGATTAATCATGCATCCTTCAAAAATTTTTGTAATCAGCATTTTAAATATCATAAGAGAGCAAAAATATTTGAGATGCAAAAAACATGAGCATGAAACAGACTTGGACACCATATGCATTGCAAACTAACACCCAAGATAGCAGACAAATAAAGGGAAAGAAGGAAAATTACCATAGGTATTCCCAGCTCTTTCAGGTCACTTTCCCCCATCTGCTTCAGTGCAGTCATATCTACCTGTTAAATAGAATACAGATATCTTAAATCAGGTGACTTGAAAAAAATAAAAGTTCTTATTCTTCTCCTCGTTGCACCAAACAGGCCAATTAATCTTCAGAAATTGTTAGCAGCAATCACAAAGTTCACAAGGAAAAAAAAAAAAAAAAAAAAACTAAAGGCCAATCAAGGAACTTTCTGTTTTGCTTGAATAAGCAAATTAATAAAAAATATCAAAGAATGTTGTAGCTATATGACATGATAACAGGTGGTAGGAAAATGCCCCCACCAACACAAAAAGGGGGAAACAAAACACAATGCATAACTGTCACAAACCAATGATCTCTGGCTCCTCAAAACATAGATCTGACCATACAAGAACACAAACAAATGTATAATCATGTGTCACCTAGAAATTTCATAGTAACTGCAGTACTGGGTATTAGACATGTCATGCAGGCATAAAACTAATAATATGACATGTAGACAATAATCATAACAAAGAAATAATAAAATTGCAATGTAGTTCCGCTTTTTTTTTTTGACCTTGCTGCATGGCATGAACCCCAAATGGTGGTCAGATCGCACACATCACATAACCTTCATGTTTCACATAAAATAATGTGCATTTATAAGACAAATAAGAAGATACCTATAGTCTAAGAAAATATTATTAAAACAACAGACATTTGACGTACTTCCTCAGCCTTGAAAATAATGGCATATTTCCCTAATCCCAATGAATGTAGCAAGCCTTCAACAGTTTGTGGTTCTTCAGCCTACATAGAAACCAGAAATAGATGAGCAGTTAGTAGATGTTTAAGACTGAAAGATGATACATTAAGAAAATTTGGGTTATCCTTAAAGAGGCAGTTAACTCCACAAGTTATCAGTCAACAAATGACATGCACTTGGTTCACTTAAACCCAAGGAAATTACTAATCACTCTGCCCCGACAAAGTTGTCCTGTTTAAGTTTACACAAATTTTAACAGAACTTAATATATGTAGAGCAACACTATTTTTGCACACCTTTTTCAGAGTTTACATAGTCAAGGCTTATTATTCAAAATGAGGGTATCATATAATAATAAAGCAACTATTCTCTAACTAGACATATACTTCAGGACAAATCAAAAAGAAAAAAGCGATTATTAGGGGGGTCAAGAAAATTCAAGAGTCCCATTTTCAGAATCAATAGACAGCCAGAAGTACATCTGAAGATCTGACTGAGAAATAAATTCTCTGCAAAAGTGGAGCCTTTCTATTGGATTAGTCCACCTGTTCTCTACAATTTTAAATCAACCTGTCTTTAGACTCTAACAGGCCTTTCAAATTAGCTATCTAGATTTCCTGGTATAGCAAAAGACAACTCTGCCTAGTCATTAGGAGCCAAATACTTTCAGCCAGTTATGTAGCTGGCCTAGTTCACATATCCTACCAGAAGTTTCCCTTAATCTTTCCCCTTCCTCTTATACCTGCATTTACATTTTTACATTATTTTTTCTTCCTTTTCTCAAGTAGATATGCTGCAACCATTTTCAATATCTAGGTATATGAGCCAAATTTATTGAGCATGTGAACTTTCAAGGATTAGTCAGAGCAGCAGTACAAATGTTAAAACTATCACAGTTAAACTGACTGAATATTTTGGTGTAAACTTAAGAATATAAATCTACCCTTTTCTGTAAGCTAATATTGTAAGCAACCCCTACTCACATAAAGCACATCAAGTCAGGATAAACAATGAGCAACAAATCAGCCAAAATAAGCAGCTGCATATCTTGTGTGATGTGAGTGTACAATTCAGGTGTCAGAAAAATCAGAAGTCAACAAACTAGTACCGCATATGAACTCTTCTGCACAATGCCACTTGGTGGAGGAAGTTGGCCTATATGTGGTGCAACAGACTTTGCAGGCACTATTGGCGGTGGCATGGAAGGTTTTGTCATGAAAGTTGTGGAACTACTGACAGACCTTGGAGTATCAAGAACATCTTTATTCATATATGGAACTGTTCTTACATCATCATATGTCCTGTTCAAAGGCCTTCGCTGTAGATTATCCATGTTCCTGGGTGGCGATAAACCTCTAGAAGAACTTATAACTCCATCTGGAGATCTTCGTCTTATATGATCCAAAGTCCAAGGAGAATAAGAATTTCTAGAGTCCATGTGATGTAAATCATCTGCGCTTCTTATTGGAGGAATTCTCCCTAAGATGCTAGTGTTCTTTGGCTCAGGCATGCGCTGCTGTGCGTCAAGATTACTACTTAGTGGAGGGCCAGGAGGCCGAATTGTTCTAGAAAGCTTTTCACGGAGGTCCATGGTTTTCTGGTCATCATCACTTTGCGCTCTTCTAAATACATTTTTTTGCAAGAGTTTGTATCGAAGGTCATCTTTACCAATGCGGGCATCTTAGTTATTCAAATACATACACGAAGATTAGTTATCAGAAAATATGTCCAAAAAAAATTAATGCAGTAGAATAAGGCTATTACCTTCCACACCATTAGCACCTAAACTTGTCAAACTGCTGTCCCCTCTTTGCCTGCACCACCACAAACATAAATCATAACATTCTCCACATAAGAATCGCGAAGTAAAAATAATGTTCCCCTAACATCAAAGTTACAAAATCATCAAAGAAAAAGAAAAGACAAACACACCGTTTGTTGCTAACTCGGTTTCCATGGATTGACGAAATGTCTGAATTACTTCCTAATCTATCCATAACAGACCGCTTACTCCCAGCACCTTGCAGAGAATTAGAATGATCATCTGATACAGTTGCCGCTCTCTTTACCACCTGTAAGGTTACTTACACCGATGAGTCAAAGCAATTATACAATACCCAAAGGTATTGTCTTATCCTGAAGAAATGATTACTTCTCTTCCTTTTATTTTCAAGCTCAATATAATGGTGATTTCTTCTTCTTCTTTTTTTCCTTTTTTATTTGCTTCAGCTCCCAATCATGCAAACATCACTACTACTAATATTTCTTTTACATATAATTTCTCTTTTTACATTTTTCTCCAATATTAAAGAAACAATAAAACTTCAATTTCTCTCCAAGCAACAATTAAGTCTTCCATTGTAACAATCCATAACTAAAAAAGAAAAACCTAATTTTTCAGATTGAAGAAAAAGAAGAGTTAGAAAAATACCTGACCACTGCGGCCAAGAGTGATAGTGACGCGAGCTTTCGAAGTTTCTGCCATGTCAAAAACCCCCAAACCCTAGCTAATGAAATTAAATTTATACAATAGTAATAATCAACTGGAAAGGTATCCCACAATCACAGCACATAACCATTGTTTAACCTAGCTAACATCAAAACCCTAATCTCGAAACTGGCCATAACAAGAGCAGAAACATTGGCTTATCTCAATGAAATTGAAATTCAAAAAAAAAAAAAAAAAAAAATTCCCTCATCGTATTTGAGATTTCAATTTGGGAATGGGGATACGTGGTTGAGGGAGAGCGACGAAAGAAAGAGGGAGAACACGCACGAGACCCGAGGTTTCAAAAAAAAAAAAAAAAAAAAAACTTCGACCGTAGAGTCTGCAGGACCAGAGAGAGGTGAATTATCGAGACACCCTCGTCGCAACTAGTAGTAGACTAATATTTTTCATTTCATATTTTCCCTTTATTCGACAAAAATGGAGGACTCGCCTTTTTGTTGTTTCAATTATATTTTACTACTACTTTCTTTTTTCCAAAATAATAAATTTGTGAGACATTGTTTGATTTCATATAAGCATCACGTAATAATAATTGTAATTATTATATTTCAGATTGCAACTTCGAAAATCACTTACGTATTTGTATCAATTCGATAAATAATCTATGTATATAAAGATTTGATCTATATTGGGAAAGTTATTTGAAAGTCAATAAGGTGAAAGCCGATTAGTCAAGAAGGAATTAGCCATGGATAAAGGATAATCTCTTTACTCTTAAGTGATCGCAGAATCTTGTCAATTCAACTACGCTTAAACATCTTTTATATGTTTTTTATTATTATTATTAAATTTGATAAAATAGAATTTTTATTGTTTATTGTATATTGAATATGATTGGTTGCATATTTTATTTTCCATTCAGTAAATAATTATTTAATCTCTGTACTTTTACTGTAATAATTAGTTCATATTTTGCTTTAAAAAACCTAATATTGGATCCATGTGTTTTTATATTCGACTGTGACGTAGTAGTTCTTTGATTTTTGACGACTATTAAATTGTTTTTTAAAAAAAACATATTTTTTATTTATGATCAAATTTTCCAATCTCACCTACTATAAACAATTTAAAAAATAATTTAATTTTTTTAAAAATAATCAACATTCAACTTTAGCCAAGAGACTCGCCATTTGATAAGATTGAAAATTAAGTCTTGAATCTATTAAGATCTTGAATTTTAAGTGCTTGAATACGTTAAGTACTCGAATATATTCACGACAAGTTCGTTTGATATTTACCGAAAATTAAGTGCTTGAATATAATAAGTATGTTTGATAAGTACTGTTCTCGAACATATTAAGGCTATGTATATGATAATTTTAACCTTGTAATTGTAATATGATATTTTTTAATACAAATAAAAATATATAAATAAATGTATTTGTGTGTACAAATAAATAAATAAAAATTCAATAAAAATGATTATTAATAAAAAATTAAATATGGTCTAAAATAACATTAATTTTCGTATCATTCATAAAATAAATAAAATCTCAAGTACTAATCAATTCATTTACAATTTGGTCTCGCAAATTAATCATAAATGTTTGATCTCGCTCGTGCTTGCGCCCCTCCTCCGATAAATGGTAAATTTGCATTAATATTTGATGTTTAATGCATCATATAATCGCCATCAAATTGTTCAAAAAAGTCGTCCGTAACAATTGTTCTTCGAATATAATTATGTATTGCAACACATGCAACAACAATATCTCTCCGAACTACAAATGGATATGAGGCCATTGTCTTTAGAATTGGAAATCTTACTTTTAGAACACCAAATGCTCGTTCAATAACATTCCTCAATTTTGCATGTGCATGATTAAACGTTTTTTCTTTTGATCTTGGATGACGACCATTGCGAAAATTGGATAACCAATATCGTGTATTACGATATGGTGCCATAAAACCTCTAGTATGCGCATATGCGGCATCACAAAGATAATATTTATCTCGCCATCAAATATTAATCTGATAAATTGCATGAAAAATGTAAAACATTTGGACGTAATACACCTACTAATAACGTTAAAAAAAAAACTTGAGGGGAATTTTTGTATAAAAAAGAATTTAATAAGAATGAAACAACTTACCGGGTGGAGGGATGGGAAAATTATTTGATGAGTCACGCATAGTTTCTATTAACACTCTTGAATCATGTGCTACACCTTCCCATCCAGACCTAAACAAAAGTAAAAATCATATAAAATCAATATTGTAAGGACATTTTGATAGTAATCTCCTCGTCCTCTCCCTCTATATGGGACTTGTTGATCGGGTGATATAACAACACGAATTAAAGTCCCATCAAGGGCACCTACAATACCCTATAAATAAATTTAGTTAATTTTAAAATACACAAACCAATAAAATTAGAAATAAAAAGTTAAATGTATAACTCGATATACTTGACGAAGTTGACGGTGATGTTAAACTTGACTTAAATCTAGGTAAAATGAAGTAGGTACAACCATTTCTTTTGCAAACTTTAACATTGCTTGCAACACTTCATGGAAATAGTGATGCACTTGTTTGTGTTGAATGATTAAATCTTCATTTCACAACATGATTTCAAAAATTTTGACTTAAAGATATTAAAAACATAGCCATTTTTTCTTCAACCTTAATATAACGACTATCTCTCAACCATCCTTTTTGTTTGAAATAATCACATAAATTTAAGAATGCTTCTTTTTTCATTCTCAACATTTCTTGACGATGAGCTGGATTTCCATCAAGGATCTCTAACATATATGCATGTCCTTCAAGAGCCAAATCCGTATCTCGGTCTTCTTCCAACACGTCTTCTATTAATCCTTTTCGGTATAAGAAGCAACAAAATAATCCTTGAACTCTTTTTTTGCCTATCCGTCAATATGCTCGTTAATTATATATATATATAAATAAAAAAAGCAAAAGCATGTATCAAAAAATTGACGAGAAATCTAATTAAAGGAAAGATATTCAAATTGAAGTACTTTTATTCAAACAATAATTCTTATGAAAACACTAAACAATCACAATGAAACAAATTATTCTAAAATACTAAACAAAAATCATAAGGAAAAATATTCAATTAAAACAATGTCAACTTTTTAGCAACCATTTTGATCCATCCAATTCGACTTCCTCTGGCTTTTGAAAAAGGTTTATCCATTGCTCTCGATATGCTTTGCTTTCACAAAAGATAGCACATGCAACTATATATAAAGGGTCATCTATTCTTAAAGTCTCCATCTCATTTAACTTCTTATTGCACTCTGTTCTATACTTGGGTCCTTCAAATTCTTCCAATATCTTCGATATTGCCACCAAATTATCATTAATGTCATCATCCTTATTCTTCTTTCGACATTTTTTGGGTTTTTTTATTTCATCATTTGGAGTTGAAAATGGAGCTGGAGAATTAGACCCCAAATCAATACATTCTTCAAAATTTGTTCTAATTGGTTCGGTTGGCATAGAAGAAGCAACTCCATTTATAAGTATTGTGTCTTTAGAAGGACCCCAACTTTCTTTTCGAGTGGCTGAAATTCCATCAAATGATGATTTCATCTCATCCGAAAATTGCAAACCAACATAACAAAATTGTTTCGCATCATTATTGTTCTATTACATAAATATATCAAATCAATAATATTATTAATTGATTTAAGCTCTACTAGGGAATGAAATTTATAAAAGAAATAATATCTGTTCATAATCATCCCACTCTTGTGCGATCCAATTGACGGTATTAGTTACTAGATTATAACCATGTCCACTTTTATTTATTAGTTTTGACCATACTATGTACTTCTTTTTCAAATACGTCCACTCATTCTTCAGTTGTTTTTGAGAAAACTTAATGCCTTTCTTTTCCTCAAATGCTTTCACTACATTGTCCCATGATTTTTTTTTTAAGCTCCCTCCATTTTTTTCAAAAATACTCACTTGTTCAATTCATGTATCCAAAAATTTTTCTACTATTTTAGGGTCCTTCCAATTGGCTCTAGCACTATCTTCAGAAGCCATCCTACACATAATAAAATGATTATACCAAAAATCACATTACTACAATCTTAAAACTCAAAATTACATCATAAAAACCAATGTATAGAAATGATAACTGATAGGCAATGCAAAGATCTATTAAAACTTACAAACAATGTCTAGAAAAAAAAAAAAAAACACTACTCATTGGGTCTCGTTTTGGCAAACCACCATAACAAATGTAATATAGATTATAATCAGTTCAAAGTGAAGAAATTAATGAAAAATGGCAATTAAATCTCTTTTGTTTGTCACTTCAGGACAAAGATAAAATTAGACGGGCACAATGGCATGATAAGTAAATTAATCAAAATCCAAACCCATTGTCATTTACCTCTCCTCCAAGACTCTCTGTACAGACTTCCCCTTTTCATTTCCCTTCTCCCTCAGTTCATCACTTCAGTCTCTCCCCATCTCCTTCTTTCTCACTTGCCACTCTACACTACGGCAAGCTTCAAAAACTCGCTCTCTCTCAATCCCGCACACAGGCAAAATGCATCTTTCTACTGGACTCTTTCTATTTTTCTTCCTCTTCACCAACACTACCGTCACTCACGGCCGCAATATTACTCACATACTTGCCAGCCACCCGTCTTTCTCCACCTTCAACCACTACCTCACCCTAACGTAACTCGTCGGAGAAATCAACCAGCTGATGTGAAAGAGTATCCAAACTATCCTTTAAAATGGCAATTATTTTCTAATAAGCTCAACCTTCTTGATCTAGCTAGCAAAATTAAAAGTTAAATTTCTTCTAATTTGATTTTATGTGGACTGGGTTTAGAGAGTAATAAAAAAAGACCAAGAACAAGAGTAAAAATTTGAAGAATTTTGTTAGGAATAGTTGTTGCATTTTTTGGAAAAATTCTAGGTTTTTGTTCGTCTGTTCTTCATTTCTGGGTAGGGGTTTCGATGTTCTTCGCATTTTTTGGTTTCTGCTTTGGGTCTTCTGAGTCTTTCAATTCGATTCTTAGTTCCCTAGCTTCAGATTATTATTATTCTCTTTTCCTTCAAATTCCTAGGCAGCCGTTCATAGGTTCTTCATATTCTGGTTTTTGGGTCTTCAGCTTCTGGGTTCCATTTACTTTTTGGGTTTCATTCGAACTCTTTAGTCATTGTTTTCCCATTTTTCCAAGCTTGCCTGCCATCCACATTCTGGGTTTTCGTATGAGTTTTTGGGTTCTCATGAACACCTGGGTTTTGTTTTAAATTGCTGGGTTTTATTCCAATCTTCAGAGCTTTGGGAAACACTCATATCACCCTATAACTACCTGTAATCCCCAAATCAAACCCTAAATCATTCAATCAAAACAGAGTACAAGATCCACTAGCACATGCTAATAGCAAGCATGCTAATCTGACGATGGAGGCAATATAGAATTTGTCCACACCGTACCAATTTAGCTATGTTTGACATCACTGGGTTTTTGGACACCATACCAGAAGCTAATTTAGGTTTATCAAAATTGACTTTTACAACACTATTAGATAAAAATAGGTAAATTAGGCAAATCTTGATTACTGTTTGGTGTTCTTGGTGATAGGATCAATAAAAGCCTCTCTATAGTCATGAAATAAACCTAAATAGCTCTCCACTAACATAATATTTGGTCCTATTCTCTCTCAATCAAAACTAATACATATATATATATAAAAAATAAAACCAACAGGATCAACAAAGATATTACCTTAATTTAACCAAAACCCGGAAACTAAAACATATCAATCTACAAAAAGAATCAACCTTTCTGTAAAAAATTATAAAAAAGAAAAAACAATCAAGATATCAACAGACACAAAAGGAAATCATCTACAATGGAATGAAAGGAAAATTACCTACGATAGGACTAGACCTTGACGTCTTAGATTACTAGTAGTTTGTTGATGATTATAGGATGAAAGCATTGATAATAGAGAATGTCTTTTTTGTTTTGCCAATGAGAATAGTAGAAATTGTTTTTAAGTTGGTTTGTATAGCTAAAATTATAAAAATATATAAAAGCTATATAGTCATATTTAAAAAGTTTCAAAAATCTTTCAACTGAGCTTGTTAATCAAAAAGTAATAAGTTAAAAATTTTAACTTACCCGATTAAGTAGATTTTGACTGAACTTAAACTTTTAATATGAAATTATTTAGATTATCAAACAAAATTTTTAATATGAAATTATTTAGATTATCAAACAAACTTATTATATTAAGTACTATAACTTATGATTTTCAAAACTAGAGGAAGTAAGTTAAAAAATCATTAAAAAAATGAAGTAAATTATAATTAACTATTTCTTTTTTCGAATAAGATTTATTATTATCATAGTTTATTTTTGATAAAATTGAATAACGTTCTTTAACTGCGGTCACTTAAAAACACGTACAAGTAACAATTTAAACATGTTTAGCTCCCGTTGACGCGGACTCTCAGCAAGCTGTATCATTTGATATCATTTCCAGTTAAGCAGACATTCTGTACCTTTTATAAACTGCGTTTTGATACTTCATGTTCATGGCCCTTTATTTGTTTATTTTGAAAATAAAATCCATTCCCTGCTCAATATGATGATGGAATTATTTGTATAAATCAATATCTTAACTACAAATATTGCATAAATCAACACCATGAGATATCCCATCATCCCTAAAATGTCATTCAAAAGAATATGATTTTTTTATTATTTTTTTCTTTTTCACAATGACCGGGAAGATATAGATTACAAAGCCGACCATAGAAAAAAAAAAAAATACTGTGTCGGGCATATCAAATGCTGCTGGCCAAAGATTCACCAATTTATTGATAAAGAAAAGAAGGGGGCCATCGAAGACAACTTCAACTAAAATTGGCCGCAAGAAAACTTAAAAAGGTTTGTGTCGAGGGTCCTTCCCGTTTGCTACTAGAGGACAGGCTCATTTTGATTTGAACATGCTGCTTATTGTATCATAGGTTGGGATATTGATAACTGCAGAAAAGTAGTCAAAAGAAAATGTAACCAAAGAATCTGCCAAGATGCAACACACAGAATTCTTGCTGATTGGGAATATACCTTCTCCATATGATGCCATTGTGAGAGGGGAAGAAATAAGCTTCTGGGAAATTTGGGTAATATCTTGCAATGTAACCTCATCTACAGCCTTCAAGAAATCCTCCAAAGGTTTCCTGAACATGTCAAAAGTGGCAAGTAAAGAAATGATCATACAACTTTGGGATGATTAACCAGAACATTATTCAACATAGAAAAAGTTGTGCCGCACCACTATTTTGCCATTTGGCCAAGATCATAAATATGGGAGTTCAACCTCAAGAGAAACTAGTGGAGGCACCTTCGAGTTACGAAAATTATAGAGATCAATTAACATGTATATTCATTGTCATGTAAGAATCTGCAAGATATTCATTCATGAGCTGATGCTTCGCTATCCCAGTGGCAGACTCTAAAAATTGAGTGGTCTCCAGTCGGCTATCAAAATGGGTTAAAAGAAGGGCAGTGACATGGTCTTCTGGACAATATTGAAAAAATTTCATCTTTCTACATTTCAAAAGTCATGAACATGTTTTTACCAACCAAAAAGAGATTACATATGTCATTCTTTGAGGTTATTCCAGATTTCTTATGTGCCATTAGCTATTCTAGGGATTTAGTTATGCATCCTTCGTCGTGATGAAGTAATTCTGGTTAGGAATATATTTTACTTCAAATTTAAAAAGCCATCTTCAGCTTTTAGATTTATTACCAAGACTTCATTTGTTTCACATCAAAGATTCTTCGGTAAAATATTATCCTATTCTCCAATGTTTGGCCCACCTAGAAAAACTTAGTCAATGGAAAATAGTTTGTGACCAAAGGAAAAAGATGCTTAAAACAAGGGAAAATAATTTGCAGTTCTCAAGAGATTAAAACATCTTACAAGAACACTTTTTTCATCAAATTATGAACCCCAACAACAATTAAATGTATCTTTTCCTTCTCATCGCTTACTTCTCGTAGACACCAAAAGACTAAACAATTATTTTTAAAGTAGTTTTCATTGAAATAGCCTAAGGCTAAACAATTATTTTCAAGTAGTTTTCATTGAAATAGCCAAACAATGAAAAAAGTAACATATATTCCAGGTGTAAAACATTTTCCAAGAATTTTTTTGAAAAGGAAAACCATGAATTTAATTTAATTTAATTTAATTCCTCATTTGGATAATCTAGTAGTTTGGTTATTATGATACTTAGTTTTAATTGTTTTGTTCAGGAACTTATTCTGTTCTCTTTTTAGCTTATAGCTTTCATTGGGGTTTCAATACTGGTATAAGATCACTGATCTACTCTTTCCAATGAGAGAATTGATGAAAAATGAGTGTCCATAGGGCGCTAGGTAGTAGGGGACAAAACCATACCTCTTGTTATATGTCAAAATTTGTCTACCTATATCTTCTGATGCAACCATCTGCAAAATATACTTTAAAGGTGAGCGAAGAAATTCAAGAAAACCTAGATACAGGCTAACAATCCACTGGCAGCGGTGCTCTACTAATATGATTGATACCAGGAAAAGAAAGAAAATGTTAACATACTCTAGATTCCAAATTCATCAGAATGGCAGACTTTGTTGACTGTTTAGCACGTTGTAGCTGCACTGGGTCAACTTCAAAAACCCAAAGAGAAACATGTTTGCGATAAAGTCAGATTTTGCACAGCAGAAAAATAATTGCAAAAGATAAAGAGAAGACGACAAACCTGCACCAGGAGAAGCAACTTCAGTTAGCTCTCTAACCATTAGCTTAATGGCTGAATTTGCAAAATCTGCATCCTGCATCCAGAAACATAAAATGAGAGGCATTGAAATATACAGTAATAACATTTATAATCCACATGGGAACCCACTCAGTTATGCCGCTGCTTCTATATTTCTAACATATGCCTTAAGTACTAAAACAGCAAAGGTTGACCCCCTAGGCTACATGATGTAAAGATGGGTTGGCATAATGTGGGCTTGATCCAAAAACACCACCAATGTAGGAATCAATGGTGTTTCCTGAACACAAGTTTGCATATGTTCAGTCAAATAAGTGCACACAGACATATCCACACACACAGTATAATAACAATGTACCCAGTATCATAGAGCAAACAGCTCAGTTTCTTACAGAGTTGATGTTATAATGAGAAGTTTATCAGCAAAGATGCAATTTTTTTTTTTTTGGGGGGGGAGGGGTGAAGAGCCATGAGAGCAGCTACTATTGGATTCCCACCTCTCTTCTTCTTTTTTGACATGCCACATGCAATATGCATTTTAGGCCACCATAATAATAATAAGAATAAGAATAAGCAAAGTCTGTCAAGCCTAACATCACCAGACACCAAACTCAAGCTCAAAAAACAGTCATATGGCTATCCTTTCATGCTGATGTTGGCAAACCTTAACCATCTCAGATATGTTTCCAAATCAATATCCTCCTAATAAATATGTTCCCAAAGATGAGAAAAAACAAGCTTCAGAAATAAACTCCAATTCCAGTATCTTCTCTCTTATCTTTTTCTATTTTGTTTCACTATATTACAGTTGGAGAAAGGGGAGTTTGATCAGCCATGCCTTAAATTTTAAAGTGACCAAGTTTCCATGAAACTTGAATGATTGGCTGGTATAATCATATCCTTAGAATTTTTATAGTGATCATGTCTTTGATTTCATATTATTACATTTACTTCTATATTTGCTGATTCAGCAAGAGACAATGAAGAGATGGATGCACAAAAGAGAATGGAATTAACGATAAAAAATAGCGATCATGTAAGGGAGCTAATAATGAATACTATTAAATGGAAAAGGAACTGAATAGATTTAGTTTTCGTATAGATGATCGGTGAACGTTTAATTTGTAATTAAAATCAAGTCTTTAAAATTTTAATCTAGCATTGTTGGAAATGCATAATTACTTTGGTAATTTCACTTTAATTTTTATATCTGTTTCGTAGTTAAGTCTTTTGTTGATGCATGACCATACATGTGTATGTGTGCATGTGCTCGAGTGTTCGTGCAACTATAATCACATTTTCTCATCATTCTTTCTCTTCTTCTTCTTTTTTTCCGAAAATTTGCATGTTAAAAGATACAAGGAGCATATGCACTGCATGTTACACAAAAACTAGGTAGCTAATAAGAGTTAAGAGATCACAGCTAAAAAGAAAAAAAAAAAAAGAAACTTGCAATGAGTAGTCAGTTGTAATGTGTTTTGCTTGACTATATATACATTTGAAGGTTATAGGAGGTAGCTTACTGTGGTAGCTTGGATACCAAATATGGCAGTGTGATTGTAAATGTTGTTGAATGCTGAAAATGACTGAATTTTGTGATACTGATTCAAGACACGTTGATCTGCTCATCATATCAAACAGATATAATTATGCCAAAATAAAAAAATTAGTAGGAAAAAATGAAAAAGCAATCCAATATTATAGCTGTTATAATAAAGTATATTCCATGATGAATCCCAGAAACACAAGCAAAATAACCAATAAAGTTTGGGTGTTAATAGCACAAATGAAGAAATGATAATATGTTCTTGAATCGATTTGTATATTTTGGATCAATTCATAGTTCCATTACAGAACAGGCATATGCAGAGAACTTACATAATCGTGAATACATTCCTTTCCCAGGGCCACCAGCAGAGAATGATCCGCCACCTCCCATTAAAATCTAGGATATATCAAACATATAACTTAATTGTTTTTGTCAAATCTTATTTGATAAGACTTAAGAAGAAACTGAAGGAGAAGTCATGATGCAGATAGAAATAACCTAGCAAAATTCAACTACATGGAGTAAATACAACAAAAATTTTATCAAATTTTAGAACCTGAAGAACTGTCAAGGTAATAGCCTCCTTTACGTCATGCCAGCCACCTTTTAGTCCAAATGCAAGGGCAAGATGGGTTTTTTGGTCCTATTATGTAAAGTCAGAGTTGTCAACTCTTATAAGATACGTAAATGATGGTAGAAAGATTTGTTCTTCAGTAAAATCTTAATACATACCCCTGAATCAGCTTGACAGCGAAAATCACCTCCAGTATAAACAGATTCTGGCTCTCCAGGACTCTTTTTATCAGGTAGATCAGATAAAAGGGGCTCTGCAATGGCTACCAGTTCCTCATGTTCAACACCATAAGCTGCAAGCACCATACGACGAGCAGTATAATTTTCCTGAAAGCTCAAAGAAAACTTCAACTTAAGAATGCAAGATTTGTAGAAACAAGCAATAATTTCATTTCAAGAATATGATGACAGAAAAGAAAAATTTCACTTGTACATACAGCTACAAATTCCTCCAAGAGTGAACTATTCAATCTATCTACTGAAGATTCTGAGGCTAAAAGAGGATTCGCCAAAGCACCAGAAAAACCAGCAGAGTGAATTGCCTCAAAAAGCAAACCTTGAGGGTTCTTTGAAGCTTCACTGATCTCATCTTTAACCTTCTGAAGCTGCATGAGGCAGAATATTATATGTCTAAGCACCGCCTATCTGCAATTTCATAAAGATGCCTGGCAGATTCACAATAACACCCACAATGATGATTTACCTGTTCATTGACCTCCCAATCAAGGAAGACAGGGTTCCTCACACAATCAATAAGTAGCTCAACCATCTCTGGAAGATAAGTCTTCAGGGCATCGTGTGTGTATCCCATCTGCTCTCGAGATGCTGAGGATTGCACAGTGCCTCCAATTGCTTCCACTTCTCGCACAACACGCAAGTGGCTGCGGTTTCTTGTCCTTTTGAATGCCATTCGTTCCAGCAAGTGAGTGACTCCAAATGTTGCTGGCGACTCATAGACCGAGCCACAGTCAACATACATCCCTATTGATGCTGCAGGACTCTGATATACAAGAGTATGGAATGATAAACAATAAGCTAAAATTACAGAAACCTTCACAAAAGGAGAAAAGAAAAGGATAAGAGCATAGATACCGGTGATGTTTCAGAGGCAATTCGCAAGCCATTACCAAGGGTAGTAATCTTAGTTACCGCAGGTTCAACATAATCAGGCAACGTAGCAGGGAGTTCAACTCCTAGAAGTGGAAAGTCTAGGGGTAGCACAGACTTGGACTTTTCACCAGTAAGCCAGCTGAAGAAACCACTGGAAGAGGATGATTGCAAGGCTGCTGCACTCGAACTTGCAAATCTTGTCGGGTACCGGCAGCCGCCCTAATCACACAAAGTGTTTCTCTGTCACATTAAGGCCAAACAACCCGAGAAGACATACCAGCTAAATAAAAACCACAAAACTCAGCCTTGCCAAATTATCATTCAATGTTAAATGGGTTTTTAGTAAAGGCTATGATGTTTTTTTTTTTCCTTTTTTCTTTAGTGACATTTTCCAGAAACCAAGCAGATAGCAGCATGTCCAAAAGTCTATGAATAGATCTAGGGCATAAACAAACATGGAACTTTTAATTTAAAAAAAAAAGAAAGAAAGATAAATAACTCATATTAGGAGATTCAGATTGGGGATTTAGGAGATGAAACTGACCTTGAGAGCTCTGAGACGCGAAGCTGCTGTTCTGTACATGATGATGCCTTGCTGATTTGATAGTTACTATCAAAATTCGAAACCCAGATTGTATTTGTTTGGTTTGATTATTTATTAATTTATAAGTATATGAATAAATCGAAAAGAGACGACTGTCTGCTCTCTCTCGCTCTCCAGTCTCCACTCGCCGATCCTCACTTTTTGGGTATTACTGCTCGCCAAGAATGATTTTGTTTCTGGGCCGTTTGATAAGAGTCCTGTCTCCTTTATTTCCTTTTCAAGACTGTCTATTAGTTTAGAACAATATTTAAACTCGTTTAGAAAAATCTGTTAAATAGTCTATTGTACAATTGCATCTCTAAAAATATATAAAATTTAAAATAAAAAAATTATTTATAATTTTTTAATAAAAAATTTTATATTTAACTACTTTATATTTATATTTTTTTATTATTTTTTCTTTAGAAAAAAGATTTATCCTTGTTAATCCAAGGATTATTAACTAAAAAAATAAATTAAATAATTTTTTAAAAAAAGCTTTAGTATTTTATAAGATTATGTCGAAAAACATAAATATCAATTATTAAAAACTTACATAGAATTGAACAAATAATTTTTTTTATTTAATGTTGATGAGACTATCAATTTTTGAAAAATTATGAATTTAATTTTTATATATTTATTTAAAAAAGAATGAACAATATTAAAATTAAAAAAAAACTATATTAATTTGAATCATTGAGCGGTTAAGCCAAAATATTATTTTAATTATTTAATTCAAAAATAAATAAATAAATAGCAAATGCTTAGTGTTGAAAAATATTATTATTATAATGTGATCATAATATTAATAACATATGACTATATTAAAAAATGACAAATTAAAATAGTAAATTTTAAATAATTAAAATAATTAAAAAAAATTCTAAAACAAAATGAGACCAAATCACAATAAAATTAAAGTTTGAAATTGAAAAAAAAAGTATAGAAAAATTGAGGACCAAAGTGCTAAAAAAAAGACATAAATAGTGAAAAGAATAGTGATCTGTGAGTGTCTGAATAGTATTTTAAATAGTAAAAATGAATAGTAAAATCATTTTTTACTTTAGTTTTTTTACTAACATGTATCCCGGGCGTTACCGCGAATTGAATTATACAACATTCTTATATATTCATTCATATAAAATAAAAAATTTAAAAATAATTATTTAAAATGATCATGCAAAAAAAATTTTTTAAAAAAAAAACTAAAGCATGTATCTCATATTTTCTTATAGGGTTAACTAAAGTTAAGTAATATAAAGTTACTAATTAGTTATTGTTTCATATAAACATGTATTTTATTAGAAATATGTATAATAACTGATAATTAAAATAATGATTTGGTAGTTTTTTGAATTTTAGATAATTAATTTTTATCATATATTCTTTATCCGTAATTTGTTAATAAAATATAGAAACCACGCAAAACAAAAGGATAAAAAAAACTTATTCAAATAAAGAATTTGAGAAAACAAATTGAGGTAAAATTACACACGATAAAAATAAAATGATCAAAACAAAGTAAAGATCATAAAAGAATGATCAAAATAAATAAAAAACTTTCACTGAAAAAAAAAAAAAAACTTATAAACAATAAGACTAAAAAAATTCATTATGCATAAGGCATGAACAAAGGTAAAACATGATAGAATTTTAATGACAAAAAAAAAAAATTACAAAATAAGAACCAAAACAGAAAATGTTTTTTACTAAAAGAAAAAAAAAACTTAGAATAGTAAAATTGTATTTAATTTTAGTGTAGAAAGAATAATAATGTAACAAAATTTCAATGATCAAAATAAAAGAAATATCACAAAATAAAAACAAAACATAACAAAAAGTTTTACCGAAATTTAAAAATAGTTCCTTGTAGGGAAAAAAATCAAATATCATAAAAATTTAATGATCAAAATAAAAAAATTACAAAATAGGAATTAAAACAAAAATAAAATTTTACTAAATTTAATGACCAAAATAAAGAAAAAAATCACAAAACTGGAATTATAATAGAAAGAAAAGTTTCACTAAAAGCCAAAAAAAAAAAAAAAGGCTTAGGATAGTGAAACTTTATTTTGTTTTAGTATAGTAAGAATAAAAATCAAACATGATAAAATTTTAATTATCAAAATAAAAACATATCATAAAATAGGAATAAAAAAAGAGCATAAATTTTTACTAAAAGCCAGAAAAAAATATTTATTATATGGACAAAAATAAAATATAATAAAATTTTAATATTTATTATAGAGATAAAAATCAAATATAATAAAATTTTAATGACCAAAATAAAAAAAAAAGTTACAAAACAAGAACTAAAATAAAAATAAAGTTTATTAAAAGCCACCTTGGTTATAGCAAACGGACGAAAAAAAAACAAACAAACAAAAAGGGGCATTGGCTAGCGGCCATAGCAAGCAAGCAGGAAAAAAAAAACACATAGCTACATTTAATCCACAGTAACTGCTACAATGGTTTTGTGTTTTCCTTTAGTTTTATTGATAATATAACAAATTAATGATCATTAAATATAATTAAAATTTAATAATCAAAATAAAAAACAATTACAACACATGAACTAAAATAAAAATAAAATTCTACTAAATTTAATGGCCAAAACAAAGAAAAAAAATCACAAAATAGGAATTATAATAGAAAGAAAAGTTTCACTAAAAGCCCAAAAAAAAAAAAACTTAAGATAGTGAAACTTTATTAAGTTTTAGAATAGTAAGGGTAAAAATCAAATATTATAAAACTTTAAGGATCAAAATAAAAACATATCATAAAATAGGAATAAAAAAAGAACATAATTTTTTATTAAAAGCAAAAAAAAAAAATATTTATTGTAGGGACAAAAATAAAATATAATAAAATTTTAATATTGAATCCACAAGTAATTACTACAATGGTTTTATGTTTTTCTTTAGTTTTATTGATAATAATGTTTCATTGTATTGTTTGTAGTTATTTTAATCCATGGAAAGCACACAAACAATATATATATACACACACGTTTTTGGATAAAAAAAATTATTTAAAAAAAAATTGAGAAAGAAAAACAAAGAAAGATTAAATGTTTTTGTCAATTAAAAACCAAAGTAATAATACAGGTTTTGTTTTCTAAAACAATTGAGAAAAAACAAATTCTTTATTTAGTTTTTATTATAATTCATGTTTTTGAGATATTATTTAAATTGAAGGTAAAATATTCTAATAAAACTAGGTTACTTTACCTTACTTTCACATTCTAGTATTCCGCTAGTTGTTGCTAGAATACCTTTTTCAAGTATTTTAGCAATAATATCACTAAGGACGGCATCAAATGGATTTATGGTGTTTGTTGCTAATGAGATCTCTAATTTAATATGCTAATCTTTTTTCTTTTTTTTTTCTGTTTTTTCTTTGTGTTGCTCATTTGATTTAGTTTACTAAAACACTTCATGTTAACTTTATAATTTAGAATGAGTTTGTATACGTGTAATTTGTTTATAAAATTTAATTAAGAATTAATTAATTTTATTATGTACTAATTCATTTTTTTTATACTATATTTGTTTAAGATATACAACAAATAGATTGAGTTAAGAATAAACTTCGCCAAGCATATGGACTGTATGAGAATTGACACTTATATTCTAATAAGGCCAATGCCCATATATTGTTTTTTAGATGCATTAAGGAGATTGATTTAGGTAGATTCGAAACAAAACTCGTTAAAATAAAATTTAATTATTACTTCATTTAGCTTTTATTAGTAGATTGAGACACTTTAGTCTACAAAAACTCAATTTTCATTACTGCAAATCAGATCATTTAAATATGGATAATATTGCACAATTTTAATAGTTCATGATCATCTTTAGTTTAATATAAATACCAATCTCACATAATTACGAGAAAATTCTAATATTTTGAATCAATTTTTAAAACAACTAGAACGATGGAGTTGGTGCACAATAGCACTACTAACTTAACACCATGGTTTACGTTATTGCTGAACGAAACCTCTCTACTATTTTTATTCTAGCTAACTATGTAAAGAAAGATCCACTAAATCTGATCATACTCTTTAGATCGATTATAAACGTATAGTGTTTTCTTTTTCCTTTGTTTATTTTCATGGCCGTCCATAAAGTTTTAGAAAACAAGTAATTTGTTAATTTTAAATTAAATAGCTTCACGATTTCGGTGGCTTTTTTAAACGAGTGTTGCTCTAACGTCAAAGCTTGCTGTAGTCCATGAATTTTTGTTTTATAAAATGTTATATAAGAAGACATTGACATTCAATTCAATTTAGGTATGAATATGATGTAATGTCTTTCGTGTTCGAAAATTTTTTTTTAAAAAAATTTTAATTTTATATAAAAACATTACAGGTTAAACATGTTTGTATATAATCAGACGTTACAATTCATATAATTTTTTTTTTTTGTTATTTTTTCCGGTGCCCTAACCACCTGTAATGTAGCATGAACAACAAACTAGTATAAACACTAAAAAGAGCAAACTTGGATAAATGAAGAAAAGATAAAGAAAAAGCAGAGATAATAGAAACTGAAACCCTACATATATGGGATTAAATTTTTTTCAACCATCTTGATTACATGGCATGGCAATGAGTTAGTCAAGCTACATGCTCGTCAATTCGTTGTCGTTCTGAAAACCATCCATCCTAGACCCCGTGCATCTTTTTCACTCTTTATTACTATTATTATTTTCATTAAAACTTGAAAGAAGTTAGAAGAAGGCTCCTAAGTTTGTCAAAATGAAAGGCATTACTATCATCTCGGAAACTACCACTCGCATAAAATTAGTGGCATCAGCAACCTCACACACCAGTCAACCAACCTAGATTTCATCTTCACCACATGGTTATGATCACATGCATTATTTTTCATGGGAAACTGAGTGGTTTATTATCAGCTACAATTGTATTAGACGAATAACCTTGCATGTGAAGTAATGGTCGAAAAGAGTTCATAATTACCGAAGTTTGGAAATTTCTGAAAATTCAAAGGCTTACACAGAAGCTGAAACTCGTCATTATTATTAATTGTAGCATCTTAAACAAACGAGATCGTATCTGTTGCAGAGATGGATGAAGAATCGGCGACAATTCCAGAAGTCCTTTTAGCTGGTTCTAGTGGCCGGAAGATGCCACTATTGGGGATGGGTACAGCAACTTCTCCACTAGAGGGATCCCAAGAAACAAAAACTGCCATTCTTCATGCAATTGAAATTGGTTACAGACACTTCGATACAGCCACATTATACCTAACAGAGGAGCCTGTTGGAGAAGCCATTGCTGAAGCATTGTCTCGTGGCTTGATCAAATCACGAGATGAACTCTTCATCACCTCAAAGCTATGGTGTAGTGATGCTCATGGTGACCTTGTTCTCCCCGCGCTTAAGAAGAGTCTTCGGTAAAACAATCTTTTACTTGGGCCTATTAATTTAAAGCCAGGATATCAACTTTGTCATAAACCAATCTTGAAGCTTATCCTGTATACATATGATATTCCTCATGATCAATTTTTATGCCATGCATGCATGCAGGAATCTTCAGCTGGAGTACCTTGATCTCTACCTAATTCATTGGCCTGTGAGCTCGAGACCAGGGACCTATGAGTTCCCCATAAACAAAGAGGACCTTTTACCTATGGATTTTAAATCCGTATGGGAAGCTATGGAAGAATGCCAAGATCTGGGTCTCACGAAATCCATTGGAGTCAGCAATTTCTCTTGTAAAAAGCTTTCAGACATCCTTGCCTTTGCAAAGATCCCTCCGGCAGTTAATCAAGTAAGTTGTGAATTTAACTTTTGGGTTTACAATAAGTTAACTATCACTTCTTTATAAATTTCAAGAAATGGAATATTTATACATGTATAAAAAAGTGAAAATGTTGGGAACTAATTGAAAGGTAGAGATCAACCCATTATGGCAACAAACGAAGCTAAGGGAATTCTGCAAGGCCAATGGAATCCTTTTGACAGCTTATGCTCCTTTGGGAGCCAGAGGAACCATTTGGGGAAGCAACAGGGTTATGGAGAATGAAGTGCTGAAAGAGATTGCAACAGCTAAAGGAAAGACTGTTGCTCAGGTGTGCTCATACTCATAACTCTAGCATGCATCTTCTTTTCTTGATATTTATTAGTTCTACATCTAATTGTACAATTGGATGAACTAATATATACAAGAACAAGACTGAATTGATTGTGTTTTAAAAACAGGTGTGCCTTAGGTGGGCATATGAGCAAGGGGTGTGTGTGGTGGTGAAAAGTTTCAACAAAGGAAGGATGAAGGAGAACCTTGAGATATTCAACTGGACATTGAGCGAGGAAGAATGTAGGATGATCAATGAGATACCCCAAAGCAGAGGATGTCGCGGAGAAGATTACATCTCAGAAAAGGGGCCTATCAAGACAATTGTGGAGCTCTGGGATGGAGATATTTGATTTACTTTTTAGATCCTTAGGTGCAAACAAAATCTATCGTCTGCTTGTTCTCGCACACTTTCATTTCTGCTAATTTCATCATCTTTCATCGGATTCAACATTTTCTGAACAGTTAGTTCTTCTTCTTCTTCTTTTTTTTTAAGCGTATACTCGAACCAATTAAATCTATCTTTCCCTCTTTTATTGGTTATTTTATTCTCCGTTCAGCTTTCATACACTAAATTAAGTTTATTCTTCAGTCTGATCGAAGACAACTATATACACTACGGTGAAAAGAGAGCACATCTAATTCGGTATATATTAAGATTTATGTTACTTAGTACAAATATGTGTTCGACTTGAGCTTAGAAATATATGTTTGACTTACGCTGTCTTTCAATTAACATCTTTATAGGAAGCTGGGAAAGCAAAAACACCATCTGAGACAATAACTCCACACCTTCAATAAGAATAAATGAAATAATAATGGAACTCAACTTCATTCCTTCTCTTGCTTTCACTTTTAATCTACACCAATTATTTTAAAATGAACTCACGAAGTGTGGTGATTTTGTTAGATTCCAAAAGATTTATTGTTTTACGATTTTATTACCTAGCAAACACTTCCTGAATTTTAAATTAAGACGTATCTTATGATCCCGAAAAACAGAGGAAAATACAACTCAATTCTGAGGCAAGTGCTGCAATTCGGAAGAGTCTCACACCAAGGGGGGTCTCCCTCTCTAACTGGTCTCGAATACAATTAATTAATCAGGGCCACATGCATACCCTTAGCCAATGCCTCTAATCCTTTCCTTCCATCACGGGGTCCTTGGTTCGTACAACAAAACAATGAAAAAACAGCTCAACAAGCATATGTATTTTACCGTGCCATATCTCCCAACATGTTGCAACACTTAAAAAATATTATAGACACTCTAGGAACATTTATAGGAGAATAGAAAAAGAAAAAAAAATCCAAAGTTAAACAGAAGGCAACCAATGAAATTAACATTGGGAAAGGGACTTTGCTAAAATTAGACTCAGAATTTTCTAATGCAATTAAGACTGAGCTGCTGGTGAAAAGCAATACTATCTTTCTACAAAACAAAATATGGAGTAATGTCCCAAGTCAAACATTAGTAGCTTTCGCTTCGACCTATGTCCAGAATTTCTTTAATACTACGGAGAAACTAAGAACAGCGAATCCAATGCAGACTAATAATGTCTTTGTTTTACTCAAATAGTGTTTATGTACATATACTGAATATTTCTTGCACGAAGTGGGAAAGTACACGTGGCATTTATGTGTTCTACAACTGTTTTTGAAGGCCATCTTATAAGCTTCAAAGATGACAGACAACAAATTTGAAGCACAGCATTAAAATAATCTTTGAGATAGTAATAGCACAAGCAAATAAGTTAAATCGGAACTAACAGTGAATGGGCCTATCATATATTGGAGGTAAAGATGGGCAGTTCTCATTCATGTTGGCATATGGCTCTATGCTGTTATACCCAGGCAACTCCATCTGATACTCGCCGAGAATCTGGCAGAACGGGAGCTGACCATCCTCATTGTTGCACCAGCTTGGCAGACGTGTTTGGTTGTTTTCAAAAATTTTAAGCATGTATGCATCGCGAATCTGCAAAAAGTAACAACCACGTCATTTAACATTGCAAAAGTTAAAAGAGAAAATGGTGATGAAGATGAGAAGAACAAAAAAACATTTATAACTTACACTAAATTCAGTTACTTGAATAGAGCTGGAAACGGGACCAAATACTCCAGCCGCCTTATACATTGCAAGAATAAAAGCAACACAAGTTGTTGATTGCCCATCACTATAAACCCATTCATCTTGTTCTGGAACAGTAAGTAATTCATCAAAGGCTATGCCACGCCTTTCTGTCTCACCTAAAATCCCATATAAGTCCAAATCCTGAAATAAATAACAGATGAACACCAAACGTTAATTACCAAACACGTATGATTCAGGTACACAACATTACCATTGCAAAGCATGTCTGTAGTAGTTGCTTATGAACGAAAAAGTTTGAAATTTGTGGACTCATATCAAACATGCATAATGATTGGAATCTATATATTTTGATTAGTTTCATCTGACCTCAAAGTTTCTGTATCACTGTCTGATTAACTAACTGCATTTTGAATATAAAACTAAATGATAAGAGATTGAAAACATCCAACAAAGATAAATTTATTTTTGTAATTGGTTCAAAATAGAAGAAAGAAAATACGAGTTGGATGACCATGATTTTTTCTTTGATCGGTAAAATTTGGAGATGCAAGCTAACACAATCAATCCTACCCCTTTACAAAAAAGCTATCAACCAAGGGCATCATACTTCAATACAATGATTTTACAGATACAATTGATGAGTACAAAAAAGGTCACTAGAACTCATTTCATTTACAAGAAGAACTTGTAGGCAACAGCACTAGTCAGCAGCTAAGTGTAGAAAGATTTCAAGCATAATGATACGTAATCAGATCCATGACTATGCAGCAATACCATACACAAGCTTCAAACTATGCTTTGATCGGTTGAATCAATTTATTTATTCCCGTTCTGATCATTTTAGTTATCATTACAATTAAAGAGTGCCATATAGATTTTTGGTTGCAATATCAAATGATAGCTCCCAAACAAGATAAATAAACTTCCATGAGATAGTAAAAGTTGTGTGATCGTGGAAAACATAAATAAACACAACTAACCATATTTTTTTCCACCCATTAATTAATTCATTACATTAGTTGTTTCAACAGATTTGCTGTTGGCTTAAAAAATAACTATCCTAAAACAAGAATAATAGGTTTATTTGGAATTAATCTGACAAATTGGAGAACTAGGATGACTCCAGGAACAAGAACAATACCTCAGTCCCTAGCCGTTTATTTAGAGCTTCATTCCACATATTTGCAGCATATGCTGGCTGCACACGAGTCCACATAGACATGACAGAAATGACCTGAAATAAGGTTCAACCTGTTAAACAACATATATATACTGAATCTAATTCCTGTAGAAAGATGAATCTTTGCAAAAATATTCTCCTTCCCTCTCCAGAAGGAAAAAAGGCAGTCATATGACCTCCATCTTCAAATTCCCAAGATGTTAGCAAACTTTTGATTCAAACCAGATATCAACCACACAGATTTAAATTTTATACATCAGCACAGCCATGAGTTGAAATGCTGCTGCAGTGTATAAATATGCATATACACCCACTCAATACTTGGCCATAAGCATGTAAACACAAATCCATGACTGAGCCCAAAAAAAGACCATATCACTGTCATCAAATCAATGCCCTGTCATAGGAAGTATACCACTTCTGGCAACAGATAAGACCAATCCACGAAGTAAGACAACATTCTAATAGTGCAGCATGCATCTCAGGTAGAATGCAATTCCAGAAGACAAAAAAATATAAAATTTCTAGATGAGATTCATACCAAGTGAGCATCAAGAGGGGGTGGGTAGTTATCAGCTATTGTGTCAATCCAACTAAATATCATATTGTGATAACCATATGGCTTGCCAGACATGCTCTGAGCATATTCCCAAGCCGCAGTGGAGTTGAACTTTGCACGCACATCCGGATGTAAAGGAAGCAAAGCTATCTGTGGATTAGAACTATCCTTTAGTGATAATTCCCACCACTCATCCCATGGGATTACCACTATAATCTCTTCACCCTGCCAAGTCATATGAGAACATGCTGTGAGGAGAATTTTTTTTTCAAACAGCTAGGAAATGTTCAGGATAAGGTTGCAATTCTGAACACAAAAAATGCATTCAATACCATACTTTTGTAATGCCTTGGACAGTTTTCCATGTGATACTTCTGCATTTAAAATCTGTTACTTTTGAGCACAAGGACCTACCATATTTGTACAAATTTCATAACTAAAATGCACCGTGGTTTCCAATTGACAAACCTATACCTGAAGAATAAAACTCTCCTTTTTCTCCCAGAAGAAGAGCGTTCAAAATTTTTACTTGTTTCTGATAGGCTTCAACATTAGTTCAACTTAGCAAATCCTATGGAGTATCAAAGTATCTATAGAATTGTGCTTGTGTGTGCCTAAAAGTGGTAAGTCTAAGAAACTGTGGTGTGGAGTCATCAATAACAACACAGCCATATTTTCCAAACAGCATTCTCCACTTTTCTGATTAAAAGGAATCAGGAATTTTTCCTCAGATATAAAGCCACAATTCCTCTTCTAACCACACAAATGATAACGCTGGTGTTCAAGAGAAGCAAAAGCAATACCACAATCACAGAAGTTCAAGAGACATCATCGACTTGTGAACATGGTAAAAACCATACATTTAAAATAACCTTATAATAACTTACTTATACTTCTGCCTTCATCTAATCTGCAAAACTCTATATTATTTAGCACATACCTTTTCATTCTCGTGTCCTGATTCACCAACCCAAAGATTGCCCAGATCATCCTTCAAGCAAACTGCTGTGTGACCAGCAAATGCACCAGTTACCCATTTCTCCAATGTCTCAAATCCACCCCATCGACCACGGATCTTGGACACAGCCAAAAAGTCACCAGAATGAACGTCATCTGGATTAATGGTTGAGCACCAAGGCTGAGGCCGTTTCTGAAACATTGCACCCATGTGCTTTGTGAGGAAAGCTAAGTTAGCATTCTGACCCCAGACTGTATTAGAAAACAGGGGCAAGACATCAATTAAAGAAAGCAAGGTCCCCAGCATTCCAGACGGCATGAGAAATATTGAGATACCATGCTGCTTCACCTGCTCAATGGTAATTGTAATTTGCAATGTCACTCACCTCTCATGTGGTGAAGCTGTCAAAGGTAATAAGATTCAAAAAAGAGAGAATTAATAAATCATTACATATTCCCTCTCGGCAGTTTCTTCCCACGAATCAAATTTCAATGTGTGTTCCCGAGCAGAAAAGTAGTAATCCCAGGTAACTCTGTATGGCGTTGCAAAAACATACAAATCCATACAGGTCCAGCTATGCGCCGCAGATGTCTGTAAAGGGAATACAGGTAGGTAGCTACATTAAGATATAATCATTCTATTGAGTATTTTTTGAAGAGTAAATACATACAGAAATACACATGCTGCAAACTTAACTAAAACAAAAACCCTATTATTTTATTTTCCTCAATCGCATTCTACTAATTAATTAGTTAATAATTGCAAACAGTTAAACCCTTTAATGTCAATTTCCTCTATTCACTCTATAAAATGCCCTGTATTAATTAATTAATTATCGAAAACAAACACCATCGTACGAAAGAATTCAAAGAAGCAATAACTAATTGATTAATTAATAAAAAGAAGAAAAAAGAGAGAGAGAAAAATGACCTTGAGACGGAGAAGGCCACCGCCCAAGGCGGGGTCGTGATCGGGATCAGCAAAGGTGAAGTCAAGGCGAGCCTCGTTGTCGTAAAAGCAAGCTCCTTTCCATTGAAGAGTTCCATTATCAGGAGAGACAGTTCCAATAAAATAAGGCAACAAATCAACGGCGCTGTGAAGATTGTTCAAAACCGGCCACGATATCTGGTGAGGCAGCACCGGAAGCACATCTTTAACCCTAAAAGGTACCTTGAAAGCTTCAACAACATAATTATTATTCAAACCAAAATCTCCTCCTAAAAGTAATAACAATAAAATTAAAAATTTCAGGAATATAGTTGTTGGATTGTAGAAAAAATTAGACATAAGAACGGATTGAATTAGTTTTGGAAAGAGAAAGAGACTAGTTACTGATCAGTTAAGGATTATTATGGATAGAGGAGATTTTGGTTTTGATCCATGTGGTGTGGGCGAGGAAACTTTTATTCAATTTTTGTTGTTGACGAAGACAAAAGAACACTCCTTGTTGAAGACTCGGAACGGACTTTGAGTACGTGGCAGATTAACAGCTCGACTTCCTCTTGTTCATCTTCCCATCTAAAAACTGATTTCTTTTTTTAATTATTATTATAGCTCTAATCTCTCTGTTTTAGTAAAATTAATTAATTCGTGGTTTTTAACTATCAGGCTAGCCTTAGAATTGAAAATCTTACTAAATACTAACATTAATTTGGCAATAAAGTAAGGCTTATGATTCAATAATATTCTTAATTTCCGGTCAAACAGAAATTGGAATTATCATTTTTTTTTTGTTTGCAATTGAGGCTAATTTCTTTTACACTATACTTTTTGCAAATTGAGAGTGAAATAACAAAAATTTTAAATTTGTTATGAAATAATAAATATTTATTTTATATTCTCATTACTCATGTGATTCAATTCACCATTTAATATGATAAATTAAAAGGATTATGCAATTGATTCAATTATTTATGCACGTTTTAAATAGTTCATAATCTCTTTAAATTTTCTTTCTAATTTCGAAGTTGTTATCTTTTGTATTCACTTTATTTTATAGTAAATTCATTTTCTTATCATCTTTTTCATTAATTCTATTATTGTTATTATTTCTTTTATAACACGTTATCGATATGAAACTCTAACCCATCGAGATAACAAACGATGAGGTATGTATCTACCAAAAAGACTCAATCATTGAATTTTTTCTACACAAGTGTTCTACTAAAAGATCTAAATCATTAAGAGTTATGCATCTAATTTATCCTTTTATTTTTACACAAGACTCAATCATTTTTAGTTCATTAGCGGAAGTGAGAAATTCCTCCATTAAGTCCTTAATGAGTATAAGATACTAGGTCCATTTTGTATATAACTTTTCCTCAAATTCAATTAAGCCTTTACTAATTTTATTTAAACCTTCTTTAATAATTTAGCTATTAAATTGTCCGTTAGTCTTGACCTTAGTATTTCTTCCTATAACCAATCAAATACATCATCCTAGTCATGTTAACCATGTTAAGCAACCAAGTTATATGACTAATAAGCTTTAGTATGATATTAACTTAATATTTTAAGCACATGTTCATTAATACAAAATAGTATTCAATTCCTTAATTTACATACCCAAATTTTTTCTTAATTTGCTAATATATACTTATAACCAAAAATCAAGTCAAACCAAATAAGATTCCCATACTCTTTAGCCCAAAGCACACAAAAAGAGCAAGTCCTTCTCTCATCTCAGCGACAAATCTTCATTTATCCTTATCTTTTCCTACACCATAAGAAACAAAGGTGAGTAATGTAATGCTCGGTAAGTATAACCCATGCAATATATGTGATGTCTTTTATACATGAATGCGCATGATGCAACTTTTATAAAATTCTTTGCTTGGCTTTAAAAATCATTTTCCTTTTCGGGTGCACCTCGCTGAACGTATGTAATGTACATGCCTCAACATGTTCAGCCCTCTTTCCTTTATTATTTCTTTAGTCGGGGCTTTTATCTAATCCCCTAACTGTCGAGGCCTTGACTAAATCCCTTGATAAAGAGATGCCTTGACCATTTTCTTAAGCCGAGGTCTTTACTAAATCCCCCAACTCGTTGAGAACTTTACCAATTCCCGCAATGAAGAAATGGCTTTATCATAAAAACCTTTTCTTTTCCTTTCATCAAAATCATAAATATAAAATCTTTTTTCATGATAATTATATGTATATGCTTTTTAATCAAATGCAATTCCATGATCATAACCTCAACATGCATACCATTAAATCCTCAAAAACATATACAAACATAATAAATCATTTACATGTTCCAAACAATCAAGTATACATACAACATGAAAACACACCATCCACAATGAATGAATATGATGAACATCATATCATGGCCAATCATAATAAGCATCATAAACCATCACCTTTCACCTAAGTGAAATCATTTTCATGACATTTATGCCTTTAAACCTCACATTAACATCTTTTTCCTTCATTTTTCATGCTTGGTCGAAAGTTGGCCAATGGAAGGATAATTATTCATTTAGCTTAAGTTTCAATAATTAAACCTCTTAAACATCTCTATAATATTTCATCAAACACATGGTAGGCATTAAACAATACCACCACCAATCTATTAATGCATCTAATACATCACAACCACTTTGTCCTTAGAACAAGAGCAACATTCAAAACACATGAATTCAACAAATTTAACCATCCAACATTAAAATTAGCACATCACTAAGTGCATATGTATCATCAAAATCCATTCAATTCAAACATCAAGACATAATTCGTAGTAACATATTTACAAATCCTTAAGTCAATAAACCTTAAAACAATATCAAACATTAATCTCTTATGATTTAGGTGAGGAGTTACACTTATCTCACTTAGAGTTTGATCAATTCTCTTCCTTTCCTTCTTGGTTATCTCTCCCTTCTCCTTCCACCAAAATTTTAGCCAAGGTGGATGATCTTTCCCTCTCCTTTTTTGTTCCTTTAAATTGCTTTAAGGCTATTTTGGTGTGTTTCTAATCTAATTACGAAGGTTGGGATTGATGGTTACTTAGTTAGATTGTCTTTCTCTCAAGGGTTACTTGGAATCTTCAATGGAGTAACCCTTTCATCTTATTCCTACTCCATTTTTATTGTTAACGTTTTGCCTCAAATCAAGCCAAGTGTGCCACACTTGAATTGATCTTAAGGGGATTCATTAAATACCTTAAGATTTTCCTTTTTCTTCCTTTCTTTTTCTTCATCTTTGACTCTGGATTTTTTCGTCTTTTCTTTATCTCCTTCCACCAACTTAATCCCTCTCTTATTATCTAAAATTATCCAAATTTTTCTAGTAAAATTATCCTTAAATCCAACTTATAAGTCCCTCATACTATTAATACTTTACATTTTAGTCCCTAAACTTTCAATCCTTGCAATTTAACCAAACACTTTCAGTCCGTAACTTTAAAATTTTCATCAATTTAGCCATCATCTAGGCCTATCCCAAGGTTAATTCAAGTATCTAAGGTTTCTTAATCATTTCACTTAAGGACTTAAACTCCCAATCTTTACAAGTATGCCATTAGGTCTTGCAATTGCACCTTATGACAAAGCATAACCATATCAATTAAGGGTATCATTGTCTAATTCAACCTTCCCTCATTCCATTAACCTATTTCATTAGTTTTACTTATATTTCTTTTATTCTTACTTGAATTTTAAACTTCATTCTCACATTTAATAAACATGCTTTTCATTAATTACACATAATGTTCATGCATTATATTTACATTCATGAGGGTTTTGGGTCACGGATATTACATCCTCCCCTCTTTATATAAAATTTCTATCCCGAAAATTTTTTAACTAAATAACTCGGGATACTTTACTTTCATCTCCTTTTCTCTTTTCCATGTTTCCTCCTTTATGTTATGGTTTCTCCATACCATTTTTACAAGAAAATTTTGCTTATTCTTTAGTTCTTTCATCTCTCGATCTAGAATCTATACATGTCCTTCTTGATAGCTAAGATCGGGTTAGAGGTCTAGTGATTTGTCTCTCAAAATATAGCTCGAGTCTTCCATATATTTTTGTAAAATTGATACATAAAATATATTATGTACCGAGGAAAGAGATAGAGATATAGCTAATCCGTATGTATGGCCTCCAATTCTCTCTAATATTTCAAATGGCTAAATATACCTTAAACTCAATTTTTCTTTCCTTCGAATCGCATTACTCTTTTCATTGATACTACTTATAGAAACACCTTATCACCGACCTCAAATTCTAAGTCTTTTTTGGACATCGAGCATAATTCTTTTGCTTGTTTTGATATGTCTTCATTCTTAGCATGATTTGTTCAATCACTTTTATCGTCTATTAAACCATTTTTAGTTTTACCAGCTTTCTCTCACCAACGTCATCCTAGTGTATAGATGATCGACACCTTCACTCATATAAAACTTCATACAGTGCCATAATATTGTTGCCTCGATACTCGTTGTCGTAGGTAAATTCTACAAGTGGTAAATATATTTCTCATCCGGCGTACTAATCCAAAACATAGACTTATAACATATCATCTAAAATCCGATTCACCCTCTCTATTTGTCCATCGGTTCGAGGGTGAAATGCTATGCTGAAATTCGGATTAGTTCCTATCACTTGGTGTAAACTCTTTCAAAATTGTGATATGAATCATAGGTTTTGATATGAGATAATCGAGACTCGGAATACCATACAATCTTATAATCTCCTTTAAGAATAATTCTATATATTGTTGCATGGAATATATAGACTTTACTATAAGAAAATGAGCCTACTTGGTCGGCTTATCAATAATCACCCATATACTATCGCCTCTCTTCTCAAACCGAGGTAGTCTAAGTATGAAGTCCTTAGTAATAAGCTCTTATTTCCATTTAGGTATATCTAGGGGTCTCAATAATCCCGATGGCCTCGGATGTTCAATCTTAACTTATTAACATGTTAAGTATCTTACTATAAAGTTAGTATTGTCTTGCTTCATTCGTTTCGATCAATAATTCCTCTTCGGATCTCGGTATATTTTGGTACCTCGATAATAAATGGAATAAGGTGTAGCATGAGCTTCCCTCAAGATATCCTCTTGAAGCTCCTTCTCATAAAAACACGTATGTTTCCTTAATAATGCTAAATGTCATCACTATCGGTAGCATATTCTATAACCTTTCTTTTAACTACATCTTTCTCGGATTTTTATCAAATCCGGGTCCCGTAGTCGACCATCCTTAGTCCTCCGTCTTATATCAAGTTGTAGTATCATTTAACCCAACATCATTTCATTGTCTCCTCTTGGTATCACCTCCAATCGTAGCCTTTTCACGTCCTTCATAATTTGGACTTTCATAGTCGTCAACGTCTTTCGACTTAAAACGTCTACCACGATATTTGCTTTATTGAGGTGGTAGTTGAAAGCAATGTCATGATTATTTAAAACTTCAAGCCACCTCCTTTGCCTCATGTTTAACTCATTTTAGGTGAAGATACATTGGAGGCTCTTATGGTTGGTGTAAATGTCACATTTGACTCCATATAAGTAGTGCCTCAAAATATTCAAGGCAAAAATCACAACGACTAACTCCAAGCTATGAGTAGGATAATTATTCTTATAATCTTTTAACTGTCTAAATATATAGGCAATGGCCTTATCATATTGCATTA